AATATGCTAGGCTCTCCTGCACCAAACGTCGACCATTAACCTTTGTTAAGAAACCCCAAGCACTTCTTTTGCCTCTTGACACTGAACCGTCTGCGTAAATAATCAAATCCTCAGTGTGATTTTGACCCTACACAAATCTGACTGTTCAGGTGGCACTTTGACCCACTCCTCTCCTAATGTTCTCTAGGACGCAAACCTGTCTGATTGTGTCTTCTGCCTGAGCCATCCATGACTTCACTCTTATCAGCCGCTGACCCTTAACTACACCCAGAGCTTCGTGCAAAGGGTGGTCTGTGTCTGCAGCTACCCTGAGATATGACTTCACCTACAGCACCTTGTGCCTACCTGCAACCGTCGGCAAACCATGGATGTATCGCACACACGCCATTGGGGTGTCTCTGGTGCAACCCAGAATGACCCGCATATTGTGTTCTGTTTGCGCTATAGTTTGTCTTACTTTGAGACGGTAAGCTGTCACAGACCATAATCAACCACTGACAGGATCAGGTGCTGATATAGTGTGAAAAGCATTCTCTGCTCTATGTCAATTGCAGCCATAGTCTTAAGTGCAATAAGTCCTTTTTGGCATCTCGCCACAACACTCTCCACATGGTCCTTAAAGGACAAGCTCCTGTCAAATGTAATTCCCAGATACTTCAGTTTGCTCTCTCCGTTGACGTTTCTACCATCTATTGTGAGACCTGGGACATTAGCTCTATAACGATCCTGTTGGCTAGAGAACACCAAAAAACACCCTTTTTCCAGGCGGACGACAGCCCTCATTTCAGTACATCACTCAGTCACTATGTCTACTGTCGCTTGTAGTTCCCGGGCTGTTTGTTCCCTCTCTATTGTCTTTAGACAGTGCCCACCCAGTACGTCTTTACGGCTGATTTGGAACTAGCTACAGCTGCCTAGTGTGTAGATATAGTGGTAATGATTGTATTTTTTTTTTTTTTTTAGTTTGTTTTAAGTTACATATTATTTGGGGTTGTGAAAAAAGTTGATTTTTTTGGGAAATGGGGGGGAGGGGGGGGGGGAGGCCATTGTGAAGTCATAATAAATATATGATGACGCCACTTTGCTCTTTGGCTGTGTCAACAAAACCCACGTTTTCTTCGTCAAAAGAAAAGAAAGTAGTTATTTCTGAGCTTTTACTTGCTTTCATATTTTTTAAATAAAATCACCTTAGCAAAAAAAAAAAATTTACTCTTTAACATGAAAAATCCGTCCTTACCAGCAATGGCATGCAGGGTACACTGGACTTGTGTAGCAGTTACCAGTGCCCTAATCGTCACTTTTTTAGAGTTAGGAGTTAGATTATCTTCACAGCACTCAGACACCCCCCCCCCCCCCACATAATCATTAGCGTCACGCAGTTAATAGTGCTAGCCCTATGTTGGTTAACAAGACTTCGTGTGCGTCCAGTGAGCTTCGCATCTTGGCTGTGCCGATCTTTACTCCTAATTCTAGTATTCTTAGCAGCTGGCAGTGACAATGTCTGCGTGATCTATGGGCCGGCCATGTTCAATTAATGCAGCACCTGCCAGTCATCAGCTTTGTCATTACCAGACTTCTTAGAGGTTTCTGAATGGTGCCCGGTCACAGTGAGTTTCAAAATCCAAACTGTCACTTCAACAAATAATTCTAAAACGGATCCTGCGTAGATCAACCAGAATTTTCGCATGTGGCCTCAGATTTCTCATGACTATTGGCAGACGATGTTTACTTAAAGCGGCGAATTTATTGGATCTTGTAATTTAGGCTATTGTCTGATCTCCCGATGACGCAACAGCAAACAGGTTTGCCTGTCAGAGGTTTCAACCCCCTGGATTTTGATAAAAACTGACCAGAACTCGAAAATGTTTCTGTTTCTTAGGGTATAATTTCAGAGAATTACAATGATGCATTTATTTGTACGATTACATAACTAGAAGTGATTTAAATCAGGGGCGCTAGAATCAGGGAGCTAAAGTATCCTGGGCACAACAATAGTTTTAGGGGTGATTCTTTACATTTTTTTAAAAGAAAAATGTCACATCTTTTAAGTGACACATGCCTCCCCCCCCCTCCCCCATGTATAGTTTCTGTTAAGTAGTTTATATACATTTCATTTTTCAACTAAATTGGGAGCTTCCTTCGAAATCAGAGTGCATCTGCTTGAGAGGCAAGGAACCAATAGTCTGCATACAAATAAGTCAGATCTGTAAAACGGATGCATATGCAACACTCAGATTAACAGGAGTGCAGTCCAAAGGTGGATGAACAACCAGAACTTTCCACCAGAGTTTACAGCTGGTGAACATGAAGAAAAACATAATAATTGTTACTATTGTGCGCTTAAACACTCCCCCCTCCTATTTTTTAGTTGCGGAGCCAGGACTTGAAGTTTTACTTTGTGCGCATCTGTTTTACAAATTAGCTTAGTAGTGAGCAGGCTGTTGGTTCCTTGCCCCTGAGGCAAATGCATGGAAACAGTTGAGTACCTGTTTCTAGGATGACCGCAGAGTAAACAGGTCTTGACCAGCATGTGGTTTATCACCTCTGCACTGGTAAATGCAAATATTTCTCTTGAAAGTCAAGTATCTGGTTGTGTCATACAGATGGAGAATGTTGTCTACGTGTTGAGCACAAAGATGATGTATACCCTGGATTTGTGAAGATAATTAGGGATAAACAGATTTGATAATCCAGCGCATTATAAACAAGTGCGGCGTCCGTGGTGACCGAAACCCACTGCTGGCTGCTTGGATTTTTATCACGGTATAAGGCGTCGCAGGTCGACCCAGCCTAAAAATGGGTGCCAGGATGTACTTCTTGGGGAAGTAAAGACGGACCACATTAACCACCTAGTGCCGATTGTTCTGTACACATATGGGTACTCTTTCCATTTGCTCGATACTCCTGAAGACATGAAAATGGATAATTTTTTAAATAAACAAATGACAAGTAATACCAGTCACTGGTGTTTAACTAGTTAGTCGTACAGCAGTATACTGGGAGTAGGAACACTTAACCTGACATGTTGGGGCTCTGATGTGCCACCTCCACACGCATATCAAGGTTCTCTTATGAATTTTTTGCAACTTTATTTTTTTTCAAACACACTATTATTATGCAATTTAATACAGACTTTGGTCTTTTTAGGCCACTCTCGGAACATTTGCCAGTCAATCAATCAGGTGCTGCTCTCTCAGACTGCTGCCCGCCATACTCTTGATGCTGTCCTCCTTCAACCTTTCTCTCCAGTATATATTTTAAAAGCGTATGTCTTTTAATGTAGCCATTATGTGTATTAAACATGGAGAACAGATTACAAATTTCCTGGGCACATGCCTACCTGAGAGTCAACAGAGACACATGCTGCATAATAAAATTAAGAAGAAAAGGCAGCAGGATAAAAAGAGGAAAGTCGCCGATGGATCAGGCCAGGGAGATTATTAAGCAGGTGTGTTCACCTGAGGGTACAGAACCTGGTGAGGAATGGGTACAAGTGCCAACAGAGTTCTCAACCATTTTTTTCTTTTTGCATCTAGACGGACAATGTTGACAAAAAAATTATGGTTGTAGTGGGGACAGAAGTGCAGGCAATGATTTTCAAGAATTCTCCAGATGAGAATGCTGTCATTTACACAGATGGGTGTGCGGTTCACCACTGGAAAGCTCACAGACGTTTTATGGCTCAGGTTGGAGTTAGAACTGTGAAGCAAGATTGTAGTGCTTTTGCCCTGACAAGTAGTCTGACTATGGAGGTCCTGGCAGCGACCAAAGCAATAACATGACTGGAGACAGAAACCTTTACCAAACTATGTTTTTCAACCATTCAATGAGTATGTTCAGGAAGATAGAGATGGGGTGGATCCAAAGACAGTGGGTTGAGTCTCTGATGAAGTCATGGCTAGTTTTATATTCGTGCTAGGGCACACATGCATGCAAAGCTAACAGGCTTGATGGTAAAACTATTGTGAAGGGTGGACGTGCCACTGACCAGGTTGATAAACTGAATGCTCTATAAGAAGTAAGTGATGACTGTGAATCTACAACCATGACCAGACTGCAAGAATGCAATGTTAAATGAGGTGTGGTCAGAGAACAGCACTATGCAGAAAGCGAAAGAAGAATAAAAAACCAACACAGGACTTGTGTCATCACCCACTACATGCTGAGGGATTTACTGAGGAGGCGCTCCAATCAGTTATGAATTGAAAGGTGCAATGAGGATAATTTATTGACTAACTGACCTTATTGCCACAGAGCTACACGACACGTTGTATCGCTCATCACTGAGTCATCTGTGTATACAAACTATCTAACTGAGCGACACATTGGCTTATTTTACCCTGTCTTATTAATTCCACAGGTTTGACAAAACCTTCCATCTGCACCATCCAAGTATTATCCTTTGTTCTGTATCTTTCTTTGGTTTAGACCAAAAACTGAAGCCGAGGATGTTCTGTTTGCTGTGATACTTTTGGCTGGGCTATAAGGAGCAGGTCGGCTCTGTGGCTAAGTCGATGCGAACACTTCGCTTCGTAATGCCGGGTTCGATCCCAGCTGCGGGCAATGCGCCTTGCGTTGGTTTCGACAGTGGTATCAAGAAAGCCGACCGTCCAGAAAGCAATGGCAAACTACTGGACGTAATTTGCCTAGAGAAACCACACAACAGCCAGGGGCTGTTAGGGTTGGTTCTGCAACATCCTGTAAAGGATACGCAACAACCTTATAAGGAGCAGATATTGCAGCACAGGAAGCTCCCAGTTAGTTGACTTGCAAGTGTTGGGGGGGGGGGGGGGGATAGGTAGTGGGTGTGTTCTTGTTATCATCACAATGAAGAAATTGTAATAGTCACAATATATTAAGAGTTCACTAGTAAGGAACAAAATTAACTGAAGACTTAATTCAGAACAAAACTTTATGCTGCATAAATATACCCAAGCATACTATGTCTGGTGACACATACACAGCAATCCCAGAACAATCACAAACATGGAATGAGATGTTTATTGACTGTTCTTTACACTTTCTGCTGTAATTGTTTGAAAAACCTCATCAGTTGGGTCCATCCGGTAGGTCATCTCAGGTTTTCGTAGCTGGACAGACATCCTTGCTTCCACTCTATTATTATACTTGCTGGCTTGGCTCCTCCGTAATGCTCTTCGGTACTGAAAGAAACAATAAAGTGAGAAACACTATAACAAGCTCCTCTGTAAGGCTCTCAGTACTGAAAGAAACAATAAAGTGAAAAACACTATAACAAGCTCCTCTGTAAGGCTCTCGGTACTGAAAGAAACAATAAAGGGAGAAACACTATAACAAGCTCTTCTGTAAGGCTCTCAGTACTGAAAGAAACAATAAAGTGAGAAACACTATAACAAGCTCCTCCTTTCTAGAACAAGTAATAACAGATAATGGTAGAAACAAAATAAAGAAGAAAAATAATGAGAAAACATTCACAATGACACGACCACATCAAAAGGTATGCATAAAATGATAATGGCCAGATGTTATATACATTTAACACTGCTATGTATCCTCACTACAATGAATAAGAGTTTGTCAAGTCAAAGTAAAGCACTGGAAATTTGAACTTAGAAATATATTGCTTTGTTTATGGAAAGGTTAACAAAGAGGTTCTAAAGGCACTAGTAATGAAAACAAGAGGTGATGGAGTATTTTGACAAGATTTAAGACATGACTCTCATAATGAACAAATAAGTTTCCAAGTTACAACCAGCAGGGGAGATGAGATTTACTGCAACAACCCTGCACTGGGGAAATGGCACATGATTGTTTTTATGGCCGTATTTCAGAAGGTGCAAGGAAAATGACAAATATGAGATGCATTCATGAAATCAAATCAACAGCCTTACTTCTGACTTTGAAATAACTGAACGACAGAGAAACTTGAAACACATGTAAACAAAAACTGGAGACAGATGTGAGTACAATGTTGAAGACATTAAATAGGAGATATTTAGAGACAATGACTTACCTCATTTGGTGAAACATAATGTGGATTCTGGTACAATGTGGCACCCCCAAAACTGCCAGCAAAAATTCGAATTGGATTCAAAACAAACCTGGGTCCTGCAGAACAGTTTCAAGGTAATGAATTTATACAGTGTGACATTCTGTGTAGAAAAAATTACAAACTATATATATACACACACATACACGTACAGTATACATATACAGAATCGCCTTTGTGGGTCCCCATGACAAATTAAAGACACTGACTGCCCCTTATCAAGCATACATGCCATTAAAGGTTTCCTGAAATAGGATGTGATGGGTTACAAGACAGATACTGCCGCTTGGCTGTAAACCCTAACACAATATACCAAATGATAATTTAAAGGGCGAGCGCATAAGATATACAAAGAATTTTAACTAGTTGCGTTTCCTTTACAGGACGTTGCAGAACCAACTCCAGCACTTTCTGGCTGTTGTGGTTTTTCTAGGCAAATTTACATCCAGTAGTTTGCCATTGCTTTCTAGACGGTTGGCTCTCGGTAACAGGGCCAAAAACATCACAAGAAAAACTGTCCGCAGCAGGGATTGAACCCGACACCTCTACATTACGAAGCGCGTTCACAGCGCCTAAGCCACAGACGCCAACTATACACAGAATGGATGCTATAAAATATCCAAAGTAAAGGTCAAATGATGGCTGCAGTTTTCAATGTCTTTGTGTCCATGACCAACCAAATCAACTCCAACCTCTAGGCAGAAATGCTGTTCTGACATTCAGTCATATTGGCCAGTATAATTGACAAGATACTGATTGTTTCAATGAGTGAAGATGATCTGTCAACCAATTAGTTACAAAAACTTTCAACATATACTCTCTTCAGGCTCACCAACCTATGAAGTAGTTTGTTGTAAGAACAATCTGTATCCATTTACACTCTACACACATAAGCAACATAAACATTACCTATCTCTGCCAGAGATCCATCTTCTGCCAAAATCTGGTAGTTTCTGAACCAGACACGATTGTCTTGAATGGAGAATGTGAAAACATGATCTGTAAATGGTTGGCTCTTTGGGTGATGGTTTGGTGTTCCAAAAATCTGAAATGCACAGGAAAATAAGTTAAATCTATAAAGTTATCCCAGTTTTTAAAAATTGTGGCAGAAATAATAAAAACACACAAATTTAGAATTATAAGAATGCAATGCTTCAATTTTCAAATGCCACAGGGCAGGGCTATTCAACGGGCGGCCTGCAGATCATTGCCAACTATACTATATTAATTTGCTTTCTATGCATGCAACATTCGTGTGGGTTTCGGGTCCCATTGTGGGGAAAACAAGAATAGACCCACTGCCTCCCCAAAAGCTTGTCGTAAGAGTCGACTAATTGGTGAGCTTCCTTTGAAGTCAGAGTGCATCTGCCGGAGAGGCAAGAAACCAACAGTATGTATTTAAGAGAATGAGATCTGTAAAACTGATGCACACACAACACTCAGGTTCTGGAGCAGGACTGCAGTTCAGTAGTGGACGAGCTCAGAACTTTCCGCCAGAGTGTACAGCTGGTGAACGCGAAGAAGAAGAAGATAATTAACCCCAAAACAGAGATTTTTTATGAATGCAGAAGAAATAAAAGCAAACATTTAGTCTATAATTATAAAATCAAACAACCCATTAAAACTGTTAACACCATAGTTTTTAACTGACTTTTACTTCCAAGGGCATTGATTACCCCAAAAAATACTAAGTAGTGAACACTACACAGCAACTGTGGGAGCTAAACCCCCGCGCCCGTCAGCACAATATAACTCATAAGCAAACATAAAGACGAAAATAACTGTCAACAGCAAACATAAAGAAGAAGAAAACTGTCAATAGCAAACATAAAGAAGAAACAAACTGTCAACAGCAAATATAAAGAACACTATTACTGTCAACAGCAAATATAAAGAAGAAAATAACTCAACAGCAATCATAAAGAAGAAAATAACTGTCAACAGCAAACATAAAGAAGAAAACAACTGTCAACAGCAAACATAAAGAAGAAAACAACTGTCAACAGCAAACATAAAGAAGAAGAAAACTGTCAACAGCAAACATAAAGAAAAAAAATAACTGTCAACAGCAAACATAATGAAGAAAATAACTGTCGACAGCAAACATAAAGAAGAAGAAAACTGTCAACAGCAAACATAAAGAAGAAGAAAACTGTCAACAGCAAACATAAAGAAGAAGAAAACTGTCAACAGCAAACATAAAGAAGAAGAAAACTGTCAACAGCAAACATAAAGAAGAAGAAAACTGTCAACAGCAAACATAAAGAAGAAGAAAACTGTCAACAGCAAATATAAAGAAGAAGAAAACTGTCAACAGCAAATATAAATAACAATATAACTGTTAACAGCAAATACCTGTGTAAAGAGTTCCTTTAGCAGCAGCCAATGAGGTTCAGAGTCAAATGCCTAACAGAACAGACAAGATTGTGATAAGCTTAAAAAGGAACACCAGCCACTGAAAATGAACCTTTTCACATTAAACATTATATTTATTAGAAAGCCTCCACAATATTAAAAGAAACAAATAAACCAGGGACAAATTATACTGCCAACAATACTGACCACACTGAGAATACTGTGTGCCACAGGTGTGTATCCTAACTTCCATGCTGAAGTTAGACTGCATTACCTGCACTGTGTGATTTTACCTCTTGTTCTCACAAGAGTTCCCCAGTATGTATCTTACAATGTTGCACAGATCCATCCTTCAGCACATACCAGCAGTACCGTATATCAAGTGTGTAATGCCAAGACCTCTGACACCAGTGCACCACTAGCAGGGGAAATTATCACCACTAAATTTTCTTCACATTTTGTTATGTCTGATTTTTTTGCTCTGCACACGCAGTCCTTCTTAATATTCTTATTTACTTGTAAAGCATCATTAGAGAGTGCTACATGTATTATCTATAAATATGTACATCTCCATAAGACTTGGGCCTTAAAGATAGAAGATCAAACAATTACATCTTTGTGATGAAATGTTCATCTATCTGACAACCGATACTTTCACATAGAAAAAAAGAAGAAAAAAAAGAAATGTAGGCAATTTGAAAACATGCAACAACAAAAAAAGCATGGTAAGATGGAATAGAAATGTTTATTGAGTAACATAAAAACTATAATGTGACAGTATATAAATTAGGAAAAAAAATATGCTGCACTTGAATGTTAAACAGTTCTATTCGTTTATGCAAAAACTTTAAAATCATTAAAAAAACTGATCTGTTGGAAAACAGCAGAAACACACAAACCAGACTAAGACTTCAAAATTTAAAAAACCTGCATGTTCATCACTAGCATATAATTATCAAAGGAAGAAGTTGGAGATGGCTTCAACGCGTTTGCAGAATGTTGCAAGACACTTTGGCAAGGACAGCAGATGGGAAAAGGAGATGTGGACGAACTAAGGAAACCTGGAGAAGAACACAAAGGAAATCAAGTAATGCAAAAAAAAAAAAAAACAAGGAATACAATATGACAAAAAGCAGGAGACTGGCAGCAATTGAGATCAAAAGTGAAGGCCTTAATAAAGTGTCAACAGCAATAAGAAGATACACATTTGAAAACAGATATAATGTTAATTACCTTATCAAAGGACAACAATGGTCGGGATCCTCGCAGGCAGTTGCCGGTCAATTTCAGCTCACTCATCGTGTGAACTAAAATGAAGACACATGATTTATTTTACAGAAAATACATATTTTTACAATAACTTTATTTAGGTTCTTGGAATGATTAACTACTAACTAATTTTTTTTTAAATCACATTCTAAAGTGAATATCTATATATATATATATATATATATATATATATATATATATATATATATATATATATATATATATATATATATATATATATATACACACACACACACACAATATTACAAGCCCAAGTTAAATCCACTCATCACCCCTGTCCCATCATTATGTGTCACACAGGACTCAAAGCCTATTCCTCCATTCTGCTCTATCCTGTGCAATCAATTCAATATCATGGATGGAATCCAGTACAGAATCTTTGGTCTCTCTTATCAACATTTATTTTATAGTTTATTTTGTGCTTTCTCGCCTCCTTAATCCTTGTTTCTCCATTTTAGAACCTGTGTCGTGATTCTCTGATAGTTTCTTCTCAGGATGTGTCCAACATAGTGCCACCTTCTCTCTGTGTCGTAACTGATGTCACTAGGTTGCCTAGATGTTTCTCTAATTTCTTCACCCCTCTTGAATTCGTCCCATTTCATGTTCATCACCTGTTAAAGCCATTTTATTTTTGAATGCAAGTAGCCTTTGTTCCATGTTTTTTTGTGGTCCCCACCTTTCACTGGCATTTGTAAAGACTTAAAAAATATTAAAATTGAAAAAATTTAGCTTGGCTTTATAACTATACAATTTAGAGTTCCAAATTGTGTTCAGGCTTTTAAAAGCTCTGTTACCTTGACATTACGTGTCATAATTTACATCTATGTTTTTCTTGATTATAAAAATTACTAGATAGTAAAACTAACCTCTAATTTAATTCCGTTTCTCTCTGGTGTTACATCTGCTTGATCTGTTATTGATGCCTTCAGTACTTTTTTTTTCATAACTTATTTGTAGTCCAACCTTTGATGCTATGCATGCTAAACTATCCCTGTTTCTTTACATGCCATTGTTGTTTTTATTTAGGGTAACAATATCTTCAGCAAAGCAAGATCTTCCAGCTGTGTTTTCTCTACCCTGTCTATGCCAGTGTTTCCACCATATTTTTTTCTCACCCAGTCAATGGTCATTAAAAATAACAGAGGAGATCAAAATGCATGCACGTGTCATTACAGATTTTAAACAAACCACTTATACTATCATCTGTTCGCACACCTGAATGTTCATAAACTGCCCTAATAATATTTATTATTTGCATTAGTATACCACAGTATTCCAAAATCTTCCATAGGGATGTTCTGTGTAAACTATGCAAAGCCTTCTTAGAGTCTGTGAAATACAAAAGAGGGGGTTGTTTTTTCAACAAATTCCTCTAACATAAGTCTCACAGTAAATATTTGATTTGGGGCAGCTTATTCCATGTGAAAAACATGCCTGTTCATCTCCAAGGATTTTGTCCACTGCCGCTTTTATTCTACCAAGAATTAATTTACCAGTTAAAAACCTAATAGGTATTACTGTATCCATTTAAATCAAGTAAGAGACTTCTTGTAGCGTCCATGACTAAGGTGTTGTGAGTCTGACTTATGATTCCAACATACTGCGATCAAAACTTACTGCTTGCTGTATGAATTTTTATCATGGCACAGGGCGTTGCAGGTCAACCCAGTCTAAAATGGGTAGTAGGATATATGTCCTGGGGAAGTAAAGACAGCCGGCAGAACGCTAACCCTATTACCCACCTAGTAATGATTGGTCTGTAAAAATATGTGTGGTCTTCCCATATGCCCAATGCGCCTAAAGGCGTGAAAAGAAATCTTTACTTTACTCTACTAAGAGACTTAATGAGAAATAAAGCAACAACAAAACTTACTGTTTTCCACAAGAAATTTTGCTGATGGTCCTTTGGGAACATTTGATGCCCTGTTGATAACAAGTTAAATGGATTACCTCATTAAAAAAGCATGCAATCAAAACTTTGTAAAATCAACATTAAAACATTAAAGGTCAAACCACAAATAATTCAAGGGCAGATATTTATCTCACTAGATGTTAAACGCAACACACCATGCATTTTTGCTACCTGAACAATGCAAGCATTTGTCCCAGCAGAAGTTAACATAATAAGTCTGGGACTGCATGCCCTTTTAAGAGGGGTCCAGTATAAAAAGAGCTTACTCACTATCTACAACAGAGTGGGTTCATTTCAAATTCATCTGGGATGGAACGATTTAAATCCAGGATAAAGAGAATTGCTGTAGGATGCACCAGGAGACACAGGTCCTGCTGCTCACATAATTAGAGGCTTAGACTTTCTATAAGGATAAGATATGTTCTTATCCAGATTAAAGTCAACATCCAGACAACCAGGGATGATACATTGCTTCTCAGGACAGCAGCAGTGATAACATGGAAAATATGCACTGTAGTCTGGAATGCTGTGATTTTTAAAACGTATCTTCAGAAAGAATTCTCACAAAAGCAAAAATGTCACTGATAACGGATGTATACCCAGCAATACTGGTGAGAAAGTAGTCACAAGCTAGATGAACAGCACACTGATAACGGATGTATACCCAGCAATACTGGTGAGAAAGTAGTCACAAGCTAGATGAACAGCACACTGTGAACACAGAGAGTACTGGAAATAAACTGCAGTCAAACTTTACTGTCAAGGCAGTACTTAACTGACTAAATATCAAGACACAATGTGACAGTATAAATATTATATACTAGGTTGAGCACACAATTCTAATGTTAGTCTTGCGTATTTTTAGTGATATTTTTCCTCTTTTAAATCATTCGATGTTATATCTGTCACCTCCAAGCCCTCTTATGCAGTGTTTCCTAATGACATTTGATAGTTTCATCACATTTACAAAGTCATGACAGACAGAAAGATTATGTGCAATGTTCATTTTGATCAACTGTGAATGTTTCCCATCTGTGTCTGTTTTTATTTTCAACAATTGAAAGATAAGTAAATCTTACTTTCAAAACTGCTGTGAATGATTTTGTAAATGCTCACTGGAATCCAAATTTATCAGAAGTTAGACATTCACAGTTAATGGCAAATTGTCATGAAACATTGATTGTTCTGAGACAATGTTCATTACATCTAAAATACTTACCATAAATATACATCTTGTTTTTTCTTGCCTTCAAAATACAGACACTTGTTGCAGTTTTTCATTTCACAAACCTGTCATAAAAGAGAACAAGAACTAGTTCAAAGTTGATTAGGCTATAAGATGGATGGGCTCGACCCACTAACTACCAAACAAATGTGGGGGATTCTGAGCCTGGGGATTTAGGCTTCCATGGCCAGTGCTCAACCAACCAAAAAACAAAATCAATCATCTGTGAATTCTGACACAGAAGTTCATGAACTGTATGTAGTATAAATATAAACTCCAAGCAGCAATGATAGTTTATGCTCCAGAATTAATCAGACTTCTCTAACGTGAGACACACAGCAAACCAACCTATTTGTTATGGAATTATATTAACACTAAACCAACAAATATGCAAAGTTTTATTCCATATCTTTTAGATCAATGACTAATTTAAAAATATTATTCTACTCAACATATTTATAATGAAGCTTGTGATAAAAGTTTAATAAAATATTGCACAAACAATATAATTTCAGGATCAATGAGCTAATGTCAGTTTCTCCATTATCTAGGGTTTCAACTTATGAACATGACTCGACATGACAAATGAACAGCTTCATACAATAGAGTAGATGGAAATACCAACATGCCTCAATAGGGATTCAACTTATAAACATGGCTCGACATGACAAATGAACAGCTTCACGCAACAGAGTAGATCGAAATACCAACATGCCTCAATCACCATATTTAGTTTTATTATCTCTACTTTGGGTTGCCTCCAATCCTCCTAGGCCTGGGTGGTATGAAGTGCTCTATATGTGAGCGAGCAAACATACCTCATTCGCCTCTCAACCTACGCAGGCAGAAGTTCACAACCCCCTGTCCATAATATTCAACTAAAGACAACCAAGCGATGTATAGTTGCTTCGCACATATACATGAGGTCATTCTAAAAAGAGAAAGTTCTAAACTCTCTATAAAACTACACATCTTGTTCTATCAAGCTCCAAGCTCTATCTGCTTGTTAGATGCAAATCGCTTACAGAGAAAGCAGTGCGCTTATGAAGAAAGTCTGCATCTGACCTGGTCATTACCCAGGGTCACAGGTGTATCTCCTGTTCAAGGCCTGTCTTGTCAACAACCTGTATTAACACTAGCCTGCTCCTTTGTTGATCAAGCAGTTAACTCCTTTTCTACCTGTCTATAATTTTCACACTGTCATATCCAGTTATGAGAACAACGTTTTAACACATAAATTAGTGACTGAAAACAGCATACCTCATTTATGATAAATAACTTATCTTTTCTGTCCATCTTTGGCTCTGAAATGAACAGAGAAGAGAATATTTGAGTAAAAGAGATATATATATATATTAAAATTATACTTACACAAACAGCAGTTCCCAAAAATATACTTTTTTAAAACAATTTACTTGAAGCAATATGTTTAAATTCTCATATATTTTTTCTCAGTCAAAAATTCTTACACACAAGTCCAGAAATAACAAGACCTTTATAATACCAGACACACAACAAACAAATCTAATTATTAAGGAATAGTAGCCACATTAAACCAACAATGCAGTAAAAGGAACAAAGCAGATTAGGCAGGTGTAATGTCAAACCTGTCACACACAAACAGAAGAGTCACAGACAAGTCACGTACATACCAGGTAAGACCACTGACCTGCTTTAGAATGAGGCATCAAAGTTCGCAGATCAAGCATCAGGTGTCGAGTTCTGAATGAAATGCCTCTGGAAGAAAATATCAGGGTCCTCTGTTTGTTTGTCCATTTGGTCTAAGAGGGAGGAAAAAAGAAAACAAAGACGTAAACAACTAAGTTTTGAATCTTCTTTGCATTCACCAGCTATAAAATCTGGCAGAACGTCATGGTTGTCCCAGGACTTGAGTGTTGTTTGTACATCCATTTTACAATAATGTGTATGCAGACTGTTGGTTCCTCACCTTTCAGGCGTACTCACTTCAACTTTAAAAGAAATATTGATCCTATCTAAGTTGGTCAGGCTAACGGTTAGGAACCTGTTTTTAAGATAAGCACAGAGAGGCTTGACCAAAACTTGCCCTGGTTGGGATGCATCAGTGTTCATGGTTCTGCACCACTGCATCGCCCACAAGTTAACAATAATAGCAAACAAAACAAACAAGACTTTGTGTCTGAGTTGCTTAATTTAAACCTTGCAACATCACTCCTGACACCTACCCATTTATGTGAAATGTTTTCTTGCTACCAGCCTGTATTAGCAGAATAAGTTTCCTATGAATTTTCCACTAGACTTACCTCTTAAGTATTTCATTACAGAAGAATGAAAAATATAATAAAATAAATTCAAGAACTAGAGACTAACATTTTAAGTATCTAGATATGAAACAACTAAACAAGAACTCATCTAAGAGCAAAATCAGTACAACTAAGAACTTATGCTGATGGAAACCATTCTTTGAAATATAAGATAAGCAAACTACCAAGACTGGGTAACTGCAAACAAAGGAAATGTCTTCACAAGCATGTACATGAAACATGGATGATCTAGAAAAGTAAACACAAATAATGCAGATGAGATGCCAATAATGTTAAACATACATAGTGAGCAAAATATCAGCACTGTGGTGGGGTGAGCTGTGGTACGAGCCACTTACAAAGCACAAACAAATGCACAACAAACAAAATACTCCAATGTTAAGCGCAACAGTCAAATTGGCTTGTCTAATGTTACTCACTGAAACAGTCACAAAGAAAAGAAGGCTCCCCTTCGAACTTCTACCCCATATGGCGGCCAAACAAATACCCTAACAGGGCCTCAGTCCTATGCAAAATGCGGAGTTCCTGCCGAGGAACAAATCTAGGATCTGCTCCAAATAACTAAACTTCTTCTTTGCGTTGGGTTTCGTATGCTCAGATCAGACCATCAGGTGGGTTGCCTCTATGAACTCGCATGTCAGCTGCAGGTCCTGCATGGTTCACCATAGCTTGCTCTGCACACTTTGCTCTTGAGGCCAGGTGTCTTTTCGGAGTTGCAGGTAGAGTGGGCAGGTCTGCAGAATGTGCTAAGGTGTTTGGGGTCCTATTTGACAGGCACACTGGGGGGACTGTACAATCTTTATTTTATGTATGTAGTAGTTGAGCCTGCAGTGTCTTATTCGTAGACCGACAATTGTATGTTGCTTTCTGTTGAGTCTGCTAATGGAGTCTTGTGAATGTTTACTGTTAGTATGTTCTCTCCGTCGGCTCTCTGGCTAAGTCGATGCAAACGCTTCGTAATGCCGGGTTCGATACCACCTGCGCGCTACGCACCTTGCGTTGGTTTCGACAGTGGTATCAAGAAAGCTGACCGTCCAGAAAGCAATGGCAAACTACTGGATGTAAATTTGCCCAGAGAAACCACACAAGAGCCAGGGGCTGTTAGGGTTGGTTCTGCAACGTCCTGTAAAGGATACGCAACTAACCTTAAAATGTTCTCTTCACAATCCCTTGTATTTTCCTTTGATAAGTGTTCTGATTTCTGGTAATTACAAGGAATGGGTGTGTTGTTTCTCCTTTGTTCCATTTTTATGCAAGTCTGTCTGCTAACTCATTTCCTGGTATGCCGCAGTGAGCCAGGATCCACTGGAGAACGATTTGATTGTTCTCTGTGAGTCTGTTTAGGTGACGTGTCGGTTCTCTTTCCATGTTGTCTCGTGAATCCCTATGAGTCGCCTGGAGGACTGACATGCAGCCACAAAGGAAAACAATTTTGCTGGGTTTTTTTTAAAATTTTATTTCCTCAAGCACTTTGGCTGAATCAATAATTGATAACGAAACAAATGCTCTAACAGGGTCTCAGCGATATGTTTATTGCGGACCTGTTTCTGAGACTATGCTGCACCACCGACAGTATCCCCGTGCCCCTATGTGCGGCGCGGGGGCTAAACTAGATGGCTGGGACTCACGAGCAGCAGCTACTGCATCTCCTACAACTTCCTCCAATTTATTTGCTCGTGAGTCCCATGTATCTACTTTAGATCCCCATCTGCACCGCTCATAGCAACATGGGTGATACGCTAGTGGTGAGCTTAATCATAATCAGAAGAACACTATCGCTAATCTGCATCGGAGTGCATAGTCTCCCCACCATGTCGCTATTATTATAGTCTGTAATGTTGTGTCTCGAAATTGTCAATGGTCGCTAGTATCGTCTGCTACTATCATCTGCAGTGTTGCATGTCGTGACATTGTCAAGTAATCCTAGTTTTGCCGCGATGGGTTCGTCGGAAGTCCGCATTTTACACAAGACTGAGGCCCTGTTAGGGTATTTGTTCAAAGGAGAGCCGAAAAGAATATTTGACACAAAGGAATACCTTTATAGAAACTTTATCTCATTGGACAGCTTTTATTTATATAAAAAACATTTCAATGTACTGTGTTCTGTTTGGGTTTAAGCAACCTAACTATTTATGGAGTAAGCATTAAATAATATGAAATCTTTGCAACTGTTAAATGTTATCCTTTTCACATGCTCTGCTGCTACTTAATCTGAATAATCATTCTGATCTCATCACTGTGTCATCACATGTGAAACTAATATTTATATCAGCAAACATACTTCTTCCCAGATTAATAACGAGGATCAAGTTTGAAAAATGCATGTTCAGAAAGTGAAAGTGCTGATATTCAAACAAAAGTTAACAGTATTTTCCTGTTCCTATTAATTTATAATTTAGCTTAAATGTTTTAGTTACTATCTCGGCTTAGAATCAGACGTAGAGTGTAGTCTACACTGTAGAGGAGGCTTAGAATGGAATGATAATGTACTGAATTTCTTTTTTTTCCTGGTGGAATCCAACTACCCAGTAGTTGCATTTTTAAATTTTTTAAACTAATAAAAAAATTTGTACTAGACTAAATTAGATATGACAACACTACGACACAACAGTTGAAAACAAACAATAATATTTGTCTATACCTGTCGATGAACTGGTGCATCAGATGTTATAACAGGCGGCAACACAATCTCTTTTTTCTGCCTTTTTCCAGTTTGCTGTTTAGTATTTTCCTCGGAAATTCTCTTTCGTTTAGCCATGTGGCTTGCTGTTGACTAGATGAATATGAAACTACAACTATAATGACACTCTAAATTCAAAATCAAAAGCCGATCTCAGCACACCCGCTACACGCTTCTCAACGGCCGGACTCGGGAATGAGCAAGCGTCCAGTCCTGGCTACTAGAAAAGGGTGTACATAGAAATTAATATCACACGGGCAGCAAAGGATCTGTCACAAATAACACGGCGCAGTAAATACAACTGTGACCAAGTGTCGACAGATACAATGATAAATGGCGACAAAAACTAAGCACACACGGACTTGTTACACGCCTTGACCACGCTTGTCATTAGATGTCTTAGAATGTCTAGCCAGTGTTGCCACTTTTCTTTGACCAAAAATATCCAAAACAGTGTCAAAAAATATCTAAAAAGATCTAAATCTGCGTGGAAAAGATCTAGAAAAACATCCAAATTGAAAAAGTCAAAAATTACATAGCTTTTGTTATGACTTACCCTACATAATCATGTCCTCACCTTCACTGATGTCTGCCTCACAAGATCCACAGGATAAACTTAGCTTGATCCGGAGGGTTCAGGCAGGTTCAGTGCTAAGACAATGGCTTGAATCATTACAGAAGTCCACTGTGCGTGGAGTCACCTTTATTTTTGTTCCGGGACACGCAGGCGTCGATGGAAATGAAAGAGCTGACAGGTTGGCTGGATCCGCTATCATACCGACGGTCGGCCTGGATATGCTGATATTATCAATGCCCTCAGAGAAATCATAGAACTTTGGTGGCAGTGAATTACTCGCCAGAATGGCAGACTTGGGAATTAAGATCGGCACAGCAGCAAAAACGAGACGCACACCGGACACGTCAGAAGCTTGTTAATCAACATAGAACTGGTACTAGCCATCGGACGTTGGGGTTCATACTGAGGGGAGGATCTGAGCACCTATGGACATGTCGGAGTGCAATGACGAACTAACTAACTAACTTAGCTTGGATAATGAAGTTGAAGCTTCAGATCCAAAATGACCCTGGTATGCTTTAGCTGTTCAAATTTCTTTATAAGTGGAACAGTAGGCTTATTTTTCTAGTTCATCAGGCCGAATTTTAAAGGCACGATAGCATTTAAGAGGTCAAATTTTTTTTTTTTTTTGGGGGGGGGGGGGGGGGGGGGGGTTAGATTTGATATAATTCCTAGCACTGAAAACTCTTTCTACGCCAGCATTTGAGTGGGGTAGTATCATGGCAGACATGGCACTTCAAAGAGCTTATAGAATGGACTGTTTGATGAGGCATCTTTAAATTGTCTCACTTCAATCCAAAACGCTTTAGTTTCTGTTTTGTTTGTCCATTCAGCTAACTTTATTTTGGTTAACTGATATTCTGCTTCCGCGACACTATTATCAGTAGCCCCTAAAAATTTCATAACTTTACAATATTTAGGTATGTCCTTTATTGGCTGAAGTATGTTACTCACAGAAAAAAGTGAAATATTTTTCAAAACATCTAGATTTTCAGGAAGTCTGCTTCAATAATGAGATAAGGAAATCTTGACAGCGTTTTCTAAAGTTGTTCTCTTCATTCTCTGTCAACAGTCCTTTTGTTTTTAAATCATCAATTTTTGATTCGATTTAAAATCTAAGGTGTGGCTTAGGAGCCAAATAGCTCTCTATAGTGCAAGTGAGCAAATCAGCTTTAGAAGTTGGCAACACCAGTCTTTTACCGAGTGAAATAGCAAGGTGAGATCATCAAGTAATTTAACTTTTATCAACAAGTTTAGATTCGAACAGTTTATTACCTTTTTGCACTTCCATTATAATAGGTTATAAAAAGAGAATGAATGACAAATGTTTTTCATCACTGTATATTCCATATAGTATTTCAGCTGTGTAGCACTTTTCACTTTGTCTTGTTATTTCAAAGTGTGTCTTCAACTTCAGCCATTGCTTCATAATTCCTTCAACAGCTGGTTAAATTGATAACCATCTAGTTTTGCAATCTGACAGAATTTTCGGTGGTGTGGAACCATCATTCAAGGCTGTATATAATGTATTGTATTGCTGTTGTCTGACAAATGATTTGGAAAACCAGTACAGTGTTTCAGCAATAAGGTATTCTAAATTCCTTGGTAAATATTTAGATGAAGCATGTGATAATGCTAGCTGCAATGAATGACGCATACATTTTATAAGTATTAACGATGGGTTAGCTTCCTTCAACTTGGCATAAACGCCATTGTTTATACCAACCATCACTGAGGCATTATCAGTACCAATTGCAGCCAAATTCTTCAAGCCTAACTGTTTGCTGATTAAAAGGTCCTTCAGTTCCTAAACTATACTTTCTACATCACACTTTTCAAATTGAACTAGTCCAAGATTTTATTTAAAATCGATCAAATGGTCACAGTTTGAAATTGCGCAGTGACAAATTAAAAACATTGCGACTGATATTTCAACTTTTGATGATTCATTTATTAGTATAGTTCTGAAAACAGATGTCAGCGATGTAAAATCTTTAAATGAAACTGCAGTTTTATGCTTTTTTAGTCTCTGCATTACTCTTTGAGTTTTGTATTTTCGCTTTAATTTCAGACTTGCAGTACTTTACTACTTACAACAAGCTTTGGTCATATCCCCAGTTTTTAATTTTGTCATCATGCAACCACTCTTTCCAAATTGTTTGCTCATACTTTACTTTTGACATGTTGAAAGTTTTTTTCAAAGTGAAAGCCACATAAGAAGGTGAGCAATTATTTTTTTTTTAATCACATGAAAAAGAAACGCAAAGTCAGCACAGTGAGGATACGGTTGAAACAAAGTTAGTATGATTTACGCGCGCTTTTAATTAATCAGTAGCGGGGCTGCCAGATATTTGAGCTTTGACCCCAGTGAGAGTTCATAGTTTAAGTAATTGCAATTGTCACAATGTACGTACCAACACAAAAAAATATATTGTAGTAAATATTTTACACAGTAATTATTAAACTGACACTTCTAGATAAACATCTACCATCTAAACGTCAAAAACACTATCTAAACGCAAGGGGAAACATCTAAGTCTGGATGTAAACACATCCAAAGTGGCAATACTGGTCTAGACTCCAAAATAGAAGAGCTTCACACTTTGCACACAACACGGTCTACAGGAGCACTATAAAAACTGGAGCATGGCCAGGGTTGCCAGATAAAAACTTCATTTTATGCCAAACCATTACCCAAAATATGCCAGAAAATGCCACATAAAGTGTAACATTGTACTCACTCCACATCAAAAGCTCTAGATTTGAATTCTTCACTGTCATTCTCACTGGAAATAGTGGAAGATACAGCGTGTTCCTTTTCGGATGTACAATCTCTAAGCATTTTCTTAGATGGGATGAAGTCTTTAAAACTCATCTTTAATGATGGCATATTTCTTGTTCCGAAAATCGTCAATAAGTGCAGGCGATATAATATTTTGGTTATTTATACGATGGTCTCCCACATTTACACACCACCGGTTGTAGGTCAACTCCGTTGACAAGCTGGTTGGACTAATCTACCACGGTCGAGGTTATGGGTGTTGCAGTCTGTTGTTGTCTGGCATTTACGTGTTTCCCCCCCCCCCCCGAGAAAGAGACGGTCTGTGACATAGATTTTGTCACTATCCAGGGGGGAGGGGGTGGGGGTGTCGTGTGTTAGACCCAGTATTTATATGATTTAGAAGTGTTAAAAGCTCTGGCATGGTGAAATATACAACACGCGGTATCAGCGCGAGTGCGGCATATCCCTGTGACCTTGTTTGAAAGTCGGATCGCTTGAGGCCGACCTATCAGAGGTGAGGTGGTGAGTAGGTCGTCCAATCAGAAGCGAGCTAGTGTGTAGCGCTGTGTGAATGGGGAGATCACGGTAAAATTTACGAGTATTTTTATATTAGGCATGAACGTTTAGTTATATGCAACTGTATGTGCTCCAATGTACTTCCCCCGACCATGCGCTCTCATGATTTCACTTAGATGACCAATTGTGCGTATTGCACAATGGTAGGTCATGCCTACAGCAAGTTGCAACTCTGCTGCCTTTAACTTTATCATTACTTTGCCTAGGAGCCATTGTTGTAATAAGCTGTGACCGGATTTTTGACGAAGTTTTCATCCTGTGTTTTTCGGATTTGTCATGATTTGATATGCTACTAATTCTTGGTGCAATAGTGCACTGACACAGTTTGCAATATGCTGCGTCTAATCTGTTTAAAGATCTTTGAGCCGGTGGTATGTTTTCTTCCAATTACTATTGTGCTTGCGATATCATAAAATTCTTTCCATTTTTTTGGGGGGATGACGTTGCCATTAGTAAAAGTTAAAAAATCTTTCAAGGATAGAGCTAGGTCTATATCCTCTCCATTTTTTGTCCTCAGGTATTTTCTGAACAGTCTGCATCACTTGGTGGGTTTTGATTTCTAGTAGATTAACATAAATTACAGAGGGTCTTGATTTATCGCAGTCACGATCGGTTTAGGAAGACAACAACATATCATGCAATAGGAAATGGCGCGAATCTCCGTTAGTCTGTACCAGGACAACACAACAAAGTCAAACTGAAATAAAGATGTTAACTAAGCTTACACTGCTTTTTTTGTAAATCTGCGTGTTTCTCACGGAGGAACCATGTAGAAAATGTGAGCACGTCTTGATAAGTAAAGCCAGGAAAAGCCCAAATATGCCAAAATCTTACAGTTCATTATCTGATGCCATTTTAATTTCAAACATGCTAAATTTGTGAAATCTGGCATCAAAAATGCCAATATGGCAATCCTGCAGCTGGGACCCTTCCTTCTGTATGACATTCCTTTAAATAAACAGAGGGGGGAACCATTTGAGGCCGTTAAATATTTAACGGCCTCAAATGGTTCCCCCCTCTGTTTCTTTATAGGAATGACGTATACACACCGGAACCTACCAATCAAATACCTTTCTTAAATGTTTGTGTATTCTAGACAAAGCAATACGGTCTTACTGTGTTCGGCGGTAAATTGTTGCTGTGATTGTTGTTCGACATTTGCTTCGTTAATATAAATTTCTGTAACCTATGGTGCCATTTCAATGGGTTGAAATGAATTCTGTCCGTATTCCATAGTCGTGGATTTCAAGCTGTACGATAGACATGGCCAATGAGACACCTCTTTTTGGGGGTGCCTAGTTGACCATGTATCTTAGTGCACTTGTATTCATGGCGAGGCGCAGACGCCGTCTGGAGGTGACAGGTTCAATTCCCGGCACGGTAACTATAGCTTTCGATTTTTATGTTGTCTAGTGTGTTCTTCTATCTTTCTACTTCTTTCTGAGTGCCGTTCACAATACTTTCTGTTACTCGATTAATTCTTCTGTATGACAGAGCAGGCGATTATAGGACGTGACACACCACAAGCTCTTCCCAAAGCTTGTTTTGATCGTACTAAAAAATACGGTACGTTTTTGTCCCCGCATAACAAGGGCAGGTGCAAGAGAATTTCAACTGGCTCGGCCTCTGCTGTTCGAACAATGAATTCTGCCTGTCCTCGATTCAGCGTCTTAGTGGGTTCATTGGTCCCTTTTTTCAGCTGCTTATCTTTGGAAGCCTGCTGTAGAAGTTCCACAAGCTGGTAATCTTAGTTTCAGCTTCATAGCAAACGGGTCACCCCTTAGTTGCTCCGCTCCTGTGTCAACGAAAAACACACGTAGCTCACATTGTCACGCCATGCACCCAACTCAAAAGCTGGGCGACGAAACTATATCCTTCCAGTCTACAAATGGAGCAAAAATGCAACGGCCACCGTCTGGAAGAAGCAAAAAAAATATTTGCCACGGTTAAAAAAAAAGGTGGCCGTGCCTAGCGTCCATTTTGATTTTATGTTTTGTTATCACAGTCGACGTCACTGCACATTGGGCATACCCATGCGTGCTCAGTCCCCCGAAGCAGCAGCTACTCCAAAGTACTTCTACTAATTGTTCCCATGGGAAGCTGGTTATTTTGATTCCTTTCTCGGCCTCGAAGACGGCAAAGACGTGCTTCACCGTGCTTAACTCCCATGTCACGCAATCGTGTTAGTGTCAGGGATTCCTCATCATCCACAAGTCCAGTCCGTACAGCGTTGACGATATCTGCTCTGTCCATGCTTTTTCCCGCAATGCTTGCCAGTTAGTAATCTCGCTCATTTCCCTTTACGCCCGCATGACCCGGTGTGTAGATCCAGGCTATAGAGGTTAAGTGCGATTTCCGAATAATTGTTATCCATTCAGAGCGCATACTGCCTGTTGCTATCTTCTGAAGCATATTCATTGAGTCTGAGACAATTACTGCCTGTGTGGCGGTTTGCTCGGATACCCATGCTAAAGCTCTAGAAGCAGCGGCTATTTCCATGGTCATGCTTGACGTGGTTGTCTGGTAAACGCCGCTGTCCTCATGTATTGTTTTCCCCCTTCTTTGCGCTGTGTATGCCCATGCTGACCTTGATCCGCGCTTCATGGATCCATCTGTGTAGATAATGGTATCTTCTGAGTCTGAAAGCTGATCTATCAGTTCCCTTACTTCTGTGTCCACGGCTGCAGGAATTTGATCCATGCAGTACCTTCCGAGTGTGATGAGTACCTTAGAGATGCCATGCATGTCCACTGGTGTATTCGTTCATTCTTTTCCGTGACTGATCACGTCTAGGTCACATACCTGCTGGATTAAATCCTCAGCCTTTGCCATCCAAGTCGCGTTCCCTTTGTGTCGTGTATAGCTTTGTGCAATGGGTGGGTAACGTCTGCTGATACCCTCAATTAAGCCTTGACCTGTGCCACTTTGTATCTGCTAGTCATTGTCGGCAAACCCAGGACATAACGCATGGCGTTGCAGGATGTGTCTTTTGTGCAGCCGAGTATGAGTCTCATGGCCTCATTTTGTGCTCGGTCCAGTCTTTCTAGCTGGGTTTTGCTGACAGTGAGGAGGCCAAGACCATAGTCAATGACGCTAAGCACAAGCCCTTGATAGAGAAGGAAAAGTAGGCGTTTTTTTTTTTCCAATATCAGCTGCTGCTAGCACCTTAAGTGCTGTCAGACCTTTCCTGGCTCTAAGTATGACGTTGTATACGGGGCATTTGTATGACAAGCATCTGTCAAATGTCATGCCCAGGTATTTATTTCATTGTGTCCGTTCTCTTGATGTCCACACCACAAATGCTTACGACTGGCGTTGGTGTACTGACGATGTGGGTATTGAGAGAGCCATGTTAAGGAGGCTTTGGACGGGTTCACCTGAGCTCTTGATTCCTGGCACCACTCACTAAGTCTGTCTAGTTCGTCTTGTAGTGTGGTTGTAATTTCCTGCCTGTTTTTACCTCGACGGTAAACAAGGATATCATCTGCATACGACATTGTTCTGCCTAGGCCTACGCTTTGTGCACTCGTGACTCCTGCTGTGTACACATTGAAGAGCACGTCCGATAATGGTGATCCCTGGGGCAGACCCATTAGGACGCGTTAAGGTTCAGATGCCCATTTACCACATCGAGGCGACACTGTTCTTTCAAATAGCGCTGCTGCGATCCAGTTGACCAATTTGGTTTCTGTCTGCATATCCAACAGCAATCTGATGAGCATGTTGTATGGGACGCTGTTGTACGCATCTTCTAAGTCAATTGCGGCTGCAGTCGCGTCCATTCCCTCCTGGAAACCCTCATATGTGTCGTAGGCAAATAGTGCAGCATTTCACCATGTATCTCTTCCTAGTCGGTACCCACCTAGTGTAAGGTGGAATAGACCACCTGACTCCAATGTTTGCGTCAACGTTCTGGTAACAATTTTTTCCAAGAGTTTTCCAATAGGGTTCTGGAGTGTAATGATTCTGTAGCCATTTATTTTCGTGTGGTCTTTTCCTGGCTTAGGAACCGGTCTGAGGTAGCTGTGGAGCCAGTCATCAGGAATAATTCCAGTGATCATGGTGTTGTTCAAAATCATGAATAGTTCACCCAAATCGGTCGCCTCGAGGCTTTTAAAGTCGCTGTATCTAACGCCATCAGGCACTGGAGCTGTTTCTGGACAGGTCTTCAGTGTTGCCCTGATGCAGTCCGTTGAGATGCATACTGTATCATCGTCTTCCTCCATTTCAGCCATCTGGATATCATGTAAACTCTGTTTCATTTGTTCCATCTCTTTCCTGTCTTTCTTTTCCGTCTGCAGGATAAATATGTTCAGGATAGCCTCGCCTTTGTCTTTATCCGATGGTAACACCGCCCCGTTGTCCATCTTTATCTCGGGCTTAACAGAGGTTTGTTTGCCTCCGTTCATCTTTTGGTGAAGCCGCCATAATTTTCTGAGAGATTTTTTGTAACCTATTTCTTGGCAAAAATGTTCCCACATTGTGTGCTTAGACTCATTTGCGAGTTGTTTAAAATGTTCAGTGAGTCTGTCTTTTTGTGTTTAATGTCTTGTTTCTGAGCCTCAGTAAAATTCGAAGACTTTTTGCATTTCTCCCAGTCTTTGGTGGCACCTCGTTTCTCTGTCCAGGCTTCTGCGACTTCAGGGGTCCACCACGGGGGTTGTTGAAAGATAGCTTTCTTCTTTTCCGGTGTTCTGCATGACATGTCTCGCAGACGCCCAATTACATTAGGCTGATGTGCAGCGTACTGGAAAGTAGTGGCTGGTCTCTGATACCTTGTGCAGATTGTTTGTTTGACCAGAATCCAACATGGGCGGTGGTCGCTTTAATGATGTCTCAGTACGCCCCACTGGCAGAGTGCAGTCATACTATTACCTTCTCTGTCGGGGATTCTGGTGGGTCTGCCATCATTCAAGCAGATTAAATCCGTGTCTGTTAGTGCTTCCTCCAATGCCTCGCCCTGTTTATTGACCGTCGGATTGCCCCATAGACGACCTTTGGCGTTGAAGTCCCCACACATAACGATGTCAGTGGTTATCTTAGTCTTTAAATTTATTTAAGATGTATGTCTTTTTATTTCAACAACCTCTCTGCGAAAACACTTCGCTTCACTGAGTTGAGTTGAATCAAAAATGGACATCACAGCACTCGGGGCATTCCCATGCATGCTCCGTCCTCATCTTCAGCAGCTAGCACAGAGTTCAAATACTGATGGTACCGGTCACAATCTGGTTAAATTTCCGTCTTGCCTTTCCTTTGAGTGTTTTCAGCCGGCCAAACCCTCTGGTTACACCCGTGTGCCTCATTCTCTCCAGGCCATAATAATCTTCTTTCTCTACTGATTCCGTTGCTTGTTCCCAAAGGGCCTTGACCACATCTGCCCTGTCATATATCAATTCACCACCAAGTTTTGCAGATCCAGCCAATCTGTCTGTCTGTTCATTACCCAGCACGCCGGAATGGCCTGGAGAAAAGATCAAAAGTATGCTAACTACCCGTGACTTTTCTAGTGAAGCTTGCCACTCTGCTCGAAGCATCCCTGCCTTCACTTTTTTTCAGCATGCTTTCAGAGTCTGATAAAATTACGACATGTGTATGCATCTTGTTCTCTAGCCACCGGAAAGCTGCAGTTACCGCCTCCACCTCCAGTCTCATGCTAGATGTTGTGGTGTCATATGCTAGACTGTCTTGCACTAAAGAGTTTCCATTGGCTTTCGCTACGAACCCCCAGGCACTTCTCTTTCCTTTCAACACTGAACCATCTGTATCGATAATCAGATCACCTGGGCGTGATTTGTCGTGAATCAACTGTTGGACTTCAACCTCTGTTGCACCCGCTGGCCACTCTCTGCACACCCAGCCCAATGTGATCATAACCCTACACAAGTCAGACTTTTCCGCTGGTACTCTGACCCACTCCTCTCCGATCTTCTTCAGCATGCATACTTGTCTTATTGCTTTTTGTGTCTTCTGCTTGAGCCATCCACCATTTACCCCTTTTCAGCCTCACACCCTTGCCTGCAGCCAAAGCTTCATTCAAAGGGTGTTCCCTGTCTGCAGCTACTCTGACTTAGCCTGCAGCACTTTCAGCCTATCTGCAATAGTCGACAATGAAAGGATGTATCGCATGCACACAATCGGGGTGTTTCTTGTACAACCCAGGATCCGCCGCATAGCTTTATTCTGTATGTGCTCCAGTTTGACTTGCAGACTCTTCGAGACAGTGAGTAACCCCGATCCATAAACAGTCACTGAGATGATTAAGTGCTGGTCAAGTGCCATAATCTTTAGTGCATTTTTTCCCGGGTCGGTCTCCCAAATGCCCAGCCTGGCCGCCCGACTACCCGAAAGATATTACGTCCGTGATCCAGACTGAACGGGGAAACCGCTAGGCAGATTTTTGCAAATATAAAAAGGTTCGATGTACTGCTTCAACCCAACGCCTTCTCTAATATATAAATAGAGAAGACCGTGCTTAAACCAAACTTGATTGGCGTCTCTAGGACATCCGCTAACTGTTTATATATTTAGAACATTAAGAGGTGTAACAGCTTGGCTGGCCTGTTACAACCTCCCCTCGATAAATAATGTACATTCACTCTCAAGAGAAACTTATGCTTGCAGGCACTAAGGTGATATGGACGAATTTGCAATTGTGGTTACAGGTTGTCAAATGCAGAGTTCTTGGCCAACATGACCAGCTGAACAGCTGATTCTCAAGCCAGCGGAAGGCAGCAGAGACTGCC